ATACGACATCGGCGAGCGTTGTCGCCAAATGAGGCGGCATTGGCCTCACGTGTCGGGGGTACGCTCCCCAATCCATGGATCTGGCGCCCTGGCACCAGATCCACGCATCACTAGTCCATGTTAGCGTGCGCCCGGAACACTCTGCACTATGCACCCACGCCGCTCCTGGCCAGGCCCATCTCCTGTGGGCCCGGAGCGGCGTGTCTGTGCCTCCCTTGCGCACGAGCCAGGAGAGCGTCCCGTGGCCGATCGCGGGCCCAGGGTCGGCCTTTGGTCAGGATCGGTGTGGGCGTACAGCGGGGCGACGCAGGACGACGGGCTCGTCTTCACCGGCGTTGGCGCGTAAGCCGTTCGCGTAAGGTTGCGCGTGAGCGCACCCGTTTCCAATTGTGGCGTGCCGCGCTGGCGGCCCGCGTGAGCTACCGCGTAAGGTCGCCACGCCACCTCGCGCAAGGCCCGTTGCTTTTTGTCGCTCAGCTGGCACCTTCCTGCCCGGGTGCCTCCTGTGGGCTTCTAGGCCTCCCAGATTGGGTCCGACCAGAGGGGGTCGGAGGATCGCGCCGCATCGCCGATGCGGCTCGATGCGGAGCCCGATTTTCGCCACGCCGGCGGCGTCGATACGTCGCCGACGTCGCCGGTGCATCGCCATTGCATCGGCGATACGGCGCGATCCACCGACCCCATCAACTCGACTCGAGCATCTGGGAGTCCTATATATATATGTATGTATATGCTCATTCTTGGGACCTTCTGGAACCGCTCGCTCCACTCGTGCGTCGGTGCTGCGTCGACTGTCCGTCGACCACAGTCGAACCCGAGTCGAGCTGGAGTCGAGCTGGAGTCGAGCTAGAGTCCTGGTCGACCAGAGTCGAACTAGGACCCCGTCTGCTCTGACCCCATCGGCTCGGACCCCATCCAGGAGGCCTCCAGGGCCGACTCGGGCGACAGGGCCGCCGCCAGCTGCGCCCTCCCCCACCCGCGCGGGCCCCGCCGTCCGCATGGACGCCTCGGGGCCCTGATTCCGCTGGAGGGGTGCCAGCTGGGGCTGGCGGCGGGCGCCAGGCCCCCCGTCCAGGTAGGAGGAGTGATGAGGTAGAAGGTAGGAGGAGGAGGAGGAGGAGGAGGAGGAGGAGGAGGAGGAGGAGGAGGAGGAGGAGGAGGAGGAGGGAGGAGGAGGAGGAGGAGGAGGAGTGAGGAGGAGGAGGAGGAGGAGGAGGAGGAGGAGGAGGAGGAGGAGGAGGAGGAGGAGGAGGAGGTAGGAGGAGGAGGAGGAGGAGGAGGAGGAGGAGGAGGAGGAGGAGGAGGTAGGAGGTAGGAGGTAGGAGGTAGGAGGTGGAGGAGGAGGAGGTGGAGGAGGCAACAGAGAAAGCGGTGACTTTAGCCAACCTCGTTACCCAGGAACTTGGAGTACCACTAGCTTACACCAAGCTTTCTGTCACCAGTACGTTTTCGGGTCTTGTGGAAGCTGCCAGGGCTGCTCTGGGTGTTCTTGCAGGCGTTCCAGAGGACTTCTCGGAGAACCTGGGGGTGGACTAAAGTGTGGGTAAGCACAAGCACTGCCCAGGGGCTCGGAGGACCATGAGGAACAGATTTTTGACTCTGGCTCCGAGGATGCGCAAGCTCAGGGCACTCAAGACAGACAGACAGACAGACAGAAGCCGCGCCCAAACGGCGCATTGGCAAAGAAGAGTAGCACATGGAAAAAAGATGTGCTACCGCAGCGCCTCGGATTTTCCACGCCGGCTGCTTTGTTCCAGCGTGGTGCGAGGGAGAACTGCGAAGCTACCGCGGACATCCCGTTGCAAAGGAGGCCAAGGAGGATGAGGAGAGGATGAGGAAGGGGGACGAGGAAGGGAAGAGCGAGACTAGACTGAACAGTGTTGCGCCACAGCCGAGTGCCACTCAGAAGGCTTTTGCAATAGGGTTTGCAGCTTGTCGCGGTCACCTCCTGCTACGGCCAGGGCTTGCGCGTGTAAGTAAGACGTCCACTGTAATCGAGGCCGCCCTCGCGAGCGTCGAATATTCCATTTGCGCGGCGCCACCTGGTAAGACTGGCAACTTTCGAAAACCACTGCTTTAGGGAGGCTCTTAGGAGCGTCCCGGGCAAGTTTACCACACAGTTTAAGCTGCCTTTCCAATAGAGATAATGATAACGGTCCGGTGCGCATCTTCCGCAGACACCTCGCCTGGAATCCAGAAAGCCAAGGTGTTTTTTTCTCAGGACTGCAGAGTGCGGCGACGTATGGGGGCGAGGTCAGTGGCTACACTCCCAGGGAGATCGCCTACCTGCGTCAGTTGGCGGCAAAAGCCCTGGGAATCCCACAATCAGGATCCAGGGAATTCGGCCTCAGCCTGTACCCGCACAGGGACCCTTTGCACCTGGCCTCTAGTACGCTTAAAAGGTTCTGCAAGGAATGGTGGCAATCAGCTGACAAGGATCTAATGCAAGGGGATGGGTTGTCCGTTGGAGAGCTGGCGACGGGCTTCAGAGTTACCCTTGAGACTCTGGAGCGACAGCCTGATCGAGCTTCTTGGTTGCAGCGGTCTACTGGGTCGCTTACGGATATGCATCTGTTGTTACGAGAGGCAGGAAGGGAATCGGATGGGCCTGGGAACATGATCAGGCACGCTTGCAGCTGCATTTAACCGTGATCTCACGGATGTATACATGCATAGGCACTTGGCAATTCGTTTCGAGCATAGCACGAATTAGCGAGCACAGCACATGATTGACAGGGGGCTTTGGAGTACACCTGCACGACGCTTCTTCTGGGACAAGGAACGGCCCGAGAGTCAGAAGCGTATTCTAGTCAGTGTGTTCTCAGATGGGTATACCACGGCCGAGGACCTTCAGAAATGGGGGTGCGCTTGTGATGGTACGTGTATGTTTTGCGGGGAACGGGACACCACATTCCATCGTGGGTGGACGTGCCCCAAGTATGTACCTGAGCGCGAAGCTTTGGATCCTGATATTCTTGAGATGGCTAAGACACTCGGCGATAAGGACCCATTGGCCTCGAAACTTTGGATGCCCCCGGCCGACATCAAGGACAAACCTGTGGAGAATGCATGCGTCAGATATTTTACTCTACAGGGTGAAGGTGAGCCCTTCGATTTTCCAGATGGGGGGCATATCTTTCCAGATGGCAGTTGCTTTCATGGGGAGAAGGGAGAGGTGGCGAGGGCAGGTTGGAGTTCGGTGCAAGTGAATGATGAAGGAGAGTTGCTTTGGTGGATCTCAGGGCCAATACCGAAGGACTTACCGCAGACTGCTACCGCGGCGGAGCCCTTCGGGATGATGTCTCCAATGGACACTGTAGATTGCGAGCTGAGCCTACTACTCTGAACGTGGACTACCAGGCCCTTGTAGATGGGGCTGCTGACCCGATTAGAGCTGAAAGCCATGTAAACGCGAATGCTGCATTCTGGAGACTCACTGGACCATTTCAAGTGGTCATGAATAAGGTCAGGGCTCATCTGAGTGAGTCTGACCCCTCGTTGCCACAGGATCTCCAGATGATCCGAGGTAACGCCCACGCCGATGCAAAGGCGAAGGAGGCGGCGCTCGACAATAAGTGGTCAGGAAGCGATGTAAAAGAGGATTAAGAATGCACTCTGCTGTATAAGAGCGTTGCAAAAGCAATGCTCGAAGTCCTAGACCTTTGGCCGCCTACGAAAGAGCTGTACGGTACCTTTGGGAAGGTGCCCCGTCCCCCGCCCCTGCCCCCGCCTGCCACCCGAACGCACACTGCGGTGTGGGCCCGAGGGGAGTGGCATTGTGTCACGTGCCACCGAAAGGGGAGTCAGCTCTTATCGAAAACGGCGTGCCGAGCCGTAGCAGGTAGCGTGCGGGATGTGCTTAGGACTGCGCGAACGCCAGGATATGAGCACAAACTCTGGATAGCCAATGTGGAGAGCACTGGCTGTCCAGTTATCTTCGGCATGGAATGTGGGGCAATGGCGGCCAGCAGAGCAGTACGACTCCGCGAGCCGTCATGCCACCCAGACCCCACGAATAGGGATCTGGGCAAGTTGGAGCGGGGGACTTTACCAGGAGGAGGAGGAGGAGGAGAAGGAGGAGGAGGAGGAGGAGGAGGAGGAGGAGGAGGAGGAGGAGGAGGAGGAGGAGGGCAGCAGCTGGGACGGCCTTGGCCCCTTCGCTCCCTCCCCCCCGACCCCGCAGGTTCTCACCTCTCCCCCCCTACCTCCCAGGTAGTTGCGCAGTTGGCCGGCATCGAGGCCCCGCGCCCTGGGACGGACGTGGGCGAGGGATCGACGATGTGAGGTGTGGATGACATCCCGTTGCGAGCGCCGCCGCTCGTGCCGGTGTGGGAGTGTTTGGCCTGAAGTGTCCAGGCCCCTCTTCGCGTCCACACCATTGCTGTGGCCAAGGGGGCTTTGGCCTGAAGTGTCCGGCCCCCCCTGAGCGTCCACACCATTACTGTGGCCAAGGGAGTTTGGCCTGAAGTGTCCGTCCCCCCTGAGCGTCCACACGGTTTCCGCCGGCGGCCTGTCACGGTTTCCGCCAGCGGCCTGTCACGGTTTCCGCTGGCGGCCTGTCACGGTTTCCGCTGGCGGTCATTTTGATATGTCTTCAATTCGTCCGTATTGCGGGGCATCATGTTTCACTTTTGGACGGTGATGGGCTGGTCTACCAGGCCCTCCCCCCCCCACGCGGCGTAAAAGACGTACAAGGAGGAGGAGGAGGAGGAGGAGGAGGAGGAGGAGGAGGAGGAGGAGGAGGAGGAGGAGGCGGAGGACCCCAATCTGGGGCTGCGTGCCTTGGGGGGTCCCCCAGCCAGGGCCGGTGCCGCAAAGAGCAGGGAGTGGCCGCGTTCGAAGCAGTCACAATCAGCAGTTGCCCGCGAAGCAGCCTACCCAGAGGTCTGGTTTCACATCTGTGCTAACCTGAGGGGACTCCATGGGATCTTGTCTTGTCTTGTCGCCGTCGTCGTCGCCGTCGGCGACTTCGAAAACCCACCCAGCCCAGAGGCCCGCCGATGGCCGTGGGGGCGCCTACTGTGGTGGATTCGGAGCACCTCGCGCCCAGCCTGGAGCCGCCACCCGTCGACGCGGCCGGCCGCCCAGAGAGCATCCGGGCCGTCGTCGTGGTGAAGGACCCGCCGGCAGCCCCTCGGTCTTTCCGCGCTCTCTCGGAGGAGGCTCAGTCCGTGCTGGGTACGTCGGCGCAAAATGCTCCATTTCCATTCGGTCTTACTCCGTCCGGATTTAGGGCGCCTTGACGGGATGCTGAGGCCGCACGGCGTCAGTCCGCACGGAGTGGTCGGTCTCCGCTCGGACTTGCAGTCAACCCGCATGTTTAGGATGGGCCACCTTCCCAAGGGTACCTTGGCGTCCTTGCCCCTTCGGCCCATCCTCAGCGGCTTTCCCTGGCCAGCCTCGTTCGAAAAACGTCAGCATGGCCCTCCAAGGCCCTTGCGTCCTCACCGCGCATCCTGACTACATGGGTTCACTGTACTCCGTCCAGATTCGGCTCCTCCTGATCCTCGCGGGCCGCTGCGCGCGGCAGGCAGCCGTGCCGCCGCGGGCAGTCCGCCGCGGCAGCGGCGCCCTGCTGCGCGCAGGGCCGCGGAGAGGGCTGCGGCGCTGCCTGCCTGCCGCGCGGAGGGCCGCGGGACGCCGCGGGCACTCCGAGAGCGGCGTCGGGCACTGCACGCCGCTGCGGCACCCCGCCGCGCGGAAGCTGCGGGAGGTGGAGGTCGGGGGAGGCGCACGTAGGGCCGTCTTCGTGGTCAAACCTCCCCGCGCCTGGAGCAGGATCTGCGCGGGAGGTCTCATGCCGTGCTCCGTCGCCGGGGGCCCTGGCCAGGCCCCGGAGCCGCCTGAAGGCGCCCCAGGATCAGACGCCAGGCCCGGGCAGGGGTCCAGACTTCTAGGGGGCCGCGTTGCTGCACGAATCGCGACGTCGGACGTCTGGGTCCGCCTTCCGCGCCTTCCGCGCGCGTGCCGCGGTTGGGAGAGGCTGCGTCCTCGTCGCGGCAGGCGCCCTGCCGCGCGGAGGGTGCGGGAGTTGGAGGTCGGGGGAGGCCTCCAGGAGGAGTCCCCTCCACAGGCCTCGAGGCCTCCCAGTACGCAGTGGGCTGTTGAGCCCGCCCTGGGCTGCGTACCCTGGAGGTCTGTTGAGGACCGCCCGGGCGGCTTCTGGGGACCAGCCGTCCTGAGCCTCTCCTCGTCCTCCTCCTCGCTTCTCCTTCGCCTCCTCCTCCTCCTCCTCCTCCTCCTCGATCCTCCTCCTCCTCCTCGCTCCTCGCTCCTCCTCGCTCCTCGCTCCTCCTCGCTCCAAGGACCCGCGCATAACCGTCCTGCCGCACTTCGTGAGCCCTCAGGAGTGCGAGCACCTCCTGTCCCTGGCGGAGGGCTATTGGATACCTTCCTTGGTCGGCGAGGCCACGCGGACTTCGCAGGATCTGGGCCTTCCAGAGGGGGTTCGAGTGGATGGAGTCGGGTGGTCGCGCCGCATCGCCACTGCATCGCCGATGCGGCTCTTTGTGGAGCCCGATTTTTCTCCACGCAGACGGCCCCGATGCATCGCCGATGTCGCCGATGCATTGGCGATGGCGGCGTGATCCTCCGACCCCATCTACTCGGACCCCATCTGGGAGACCTCTACAGGAGGACTACAAGACAGGCAACCTGGAGAACGCGCTGTCGACCACCAGGACCTCCTGGTCGTGCATGCTGAGGTACGCGCAGACCGCCGTCGTGGAGCGGCTCGAGCACCGCTTGGCCGCCGTGGCGGGCCTGCCGCTGCAGCAGCTCGAGCGGATGAACATGGTCCGCTACGCGCCCGGCGAGCTTTTTGACGAGCACCACGACGGCGAGTTCCGGCCGATCACGATCTTCGTCTACCTGAACGACCTCCCGGAGGGTGACGAGGCCGGAGACACCTTCTTCCCAAACTTAGGCTCGGGTCGGACGAAGGGGGGAGAGTGATGGCGGAGTCAGCGTGCAGCGCAGCTGAGAAGGGAGGGATGCCTCAGCACGCCTGGCGCTGCTGAGAAGGGAGGGGGTTGAACTCTGCTGCATGCTGATGGTTGCGGCCCCGGCGCTGGGAGCTTTCCTCGATACATTGGCGCCTCCGACGCCCGGAGGCTCTACAGAGGCCACAGCTGCGTGAGCTGATGCGCTAGTGTCACATTGCTATCCCCAACTCTCGTCCGACCCGATAGGCCTCAGCTTCAAGCCGCGCCGTGGCACCGCAGTGATGTGGTCCAACGTGCTGGACGGCCAGGAGGACACCGCGGGCGGGAAGCGCGTCCACATCCACTCGCCTCTCGGTCCAGACCCCTCTGCCGCGGCCCACGGATTCGGGGCGGGTTTGCGCGGACGCCGCGCGCGGAACGCATCCTTGGGATCGTGCACCCACGGCATCGCGCCTCAGAGCCCAGGCCGCGAGGTCATGGATGCGGGACGTGGGCATGCTCTTCGCTCGCGAGGACAGCCGCCTCCTCCACGCCGGGCGTGCGCCGTCTCTGGGCGTGAAGTACGGGGTGAACTGCTTCTTCAACGTGCGCGACATGCGGCTCATGACCCCAGTCGGGCCAGAGTATGCGCTTCAGGATCGGGGACGACGATAGGGGCGAACGGCCCAGTGGCGGGCGCTACGCGTACTCGCTGCGGAGCCCCGCCGAAGATATGCACCGTCGTCGACCGTCGGTGCCGATGCATACACGTATTGCTCCCCCGTGGGCTATCCGCCCCTATCGTTAAGTCGGGTATGTCCCTCTACAGGAGGAACAGTCAAAAATAACCTCAGCAAGCAATTAAGACCCCCCCCCGCCCCCCCCCTCTCCGGCGAAAGTATAACGCACCTGGCACCCCAGAAGCGTTACCCTGGCACCTCGCACCTTTATGTGAACGTAGACGAGTCTGCTCGCCGAAACAAGCAAAGCTTATTATTATTATTCTTCGTATTATTCTTCTTCTTATTATTACTCTTATTCTTGTTATTGATCTTCTTCTTCTTCTTATTATTTCCAGCTGAACAGAAAACTCCTCCTGCTCCTCCTCCTCAAGACTCCCTTACGGCATGGCACCAACACGAACATAGACAATACTACCAGCAATAAGAATTATATCTAGAACAACAGGGCCAACAACAGCAACACCAACAACAACATCAACATTAAACACACCAACAACACCGCCAACACCAACAAAAACAACATTAAGTCCCTCGCAAGGGAGAGCCCAGCTTTGAAGGAACAGAAACCGTCCGTGCCTACGATGGGGGGCGAATCATTTTGGCGGTGCGGGTGCTGAGATAACGCGCCGTGCGTGGCGGGGGCAATATCCTCGGATGCACTACCCCACGCGACGGCCGGGGAAAACCAATTGTTCAATAAGGGTGGTAATACAATTCGTATAGGACAAGGATGATGAAGAACATGAGAAAAGGAGGGGGGGAGGAAAGAAGCAGGGGAGCCCGTCTGTTCTCGTTTTTTTGTTTTTTGTTTTTCCTTACTCTTATTCGTATCAGTATTATTATTAGTATTCCTATTCTTATTGTTATTCATATTATTATTATTATTATCATTATTATTATTATTCGTGGTCTTATTGTACTTCTTGTCTTTCTGGACAAGCTGTCGTAATTATTTTGGTGCGGGTGCGGTGCTAAGCTAATGCGCCGTGCGTGGCGGGGGCGATATCCTCGGATGCACTACCCCACACGACGGCCGGGAAACAACAATTTGTCAACAGGGGTGGTAATACAATTCGTATAGGACAAGCATGATGAGGATAATGATTATCAACTTTTATTCTTATTACTTCCCGTTTTTACTAATTCTTATTACGCTTCGTATCATTACTATTTGACTATTATTATTATTATTATTATTATTATTATGATTATTATTATTATTATTATTATTAATTTTTATTTATTTATTTATCTATTATTATTATTATTCTTACAATTCCAATTGGGATACCACCCGAGCCGGGGCGCGGGAATTATTCATGTTCGTTCCATTTGCGCGGTGCTAATCATATCGCTCTGCGAAAACCGCCCCCCATAATTATTTTTAATTACGGTGCGGTGCTAATGATACCCCCGGGGGGTTCCTTCATGTCTTGATGAGGAAAGTCAAAAAGTGCTCTGTCAGGGGACGTTTCTTTGTTTATATTTGAGCGCTTTTGAATATTTTTGGTTAATTTTTCAGTCCAAATCCCCCTTTGGAAGAACATGCCCGACCTAAGTGCGCTGCTTCCCCGTGGGCTGCGCCGCCCCCATCGTCGCCCCCGGCAGGACGCCGCCACGGTCGCCGTGGCGGAGCTCGGCGCGGGCAGCGGCGGGCCGGAGGCCCTGCGGGGGGGAACGAGGCCGTCGCCACTGGCCCTGGTCCTCGTTGGAGCGCCTTGGGGCCCCCCCGGGGGGGTGGCGCCTCGTCCCGGCCACGCGCAGAGGGCGGGGAGGAGGAGGAGGAGGAGGAGGAGGAGGAGGAGGAGGAGGAGGAGGAGAAGGAGGAGGAGGAGGAGGCAAAGGAGGAGGAGGAAATGGAGGAGGAGGAGGAGGAGGAGGAGGAGGAGGAGGAGGAGGAAGAGGAGGAGGAGGCAGAGGAGGAGGAGGAAGAGGAGCAGGAAGAGGAGGAGGAGGAGGAGGAGG